TTTTTTTTTTTTTTTTTTTTTTTTTCCTTTAGGGGGGGGAATCCTTTTTACGGATTCTAGGCATAGTTGTTGGCCTGGATATGTGGCGACTCGACGCAGCGTCATACTAAAACTCGACGCTAACGCCCCTACCCACTAAACCCTAAACCCCTTTCTCTTCTATCCTCTGATCCCCCATGGTACCGCCGTCATGCTTGCTTGGGACTGGTGAGGCGTGAGTTCGAATCCTGGTGTGAGCTGAAATTTAATTTTCAGTGAACATCGGTACTCATAACTCACGTCGGGCTGTACAGGCTTAGTAGTGTATCAAGGAGTTAGTAATTAATAAATTAAAAAAAAACGGTAAATATTACTTAAAATTATTATTGTCCTAAAATTACAAAATTTTTGCTTTTTGGAGATTTTTAGCATTTTCAAATGGGATTTTCTATGAGTAAGTTATTCATCAAAGATGGTCAAAGGAGTGTTATTTGACAAAGGAAGGAACGTGAAACGACGGTAAATCGACAGTGACACGACGATGAAACGACAGCAAAACGACGGTGAAACGACAGTAAAACGACGGTGAAACGACTTTGGATTCACTCCTATTTTACTGTGTAACAAAAGTGCTTTGACTGTCAAATAACTATACATTTATAAACTTTTTACAATGGTTTCACTCCATAGTTGCCATATAAAAATGTCGTTTGAACCATTTTACCAAGGTCTAATGATCTGATATATACCATATTTTGACAGTAGTGAAATGAAACAAAGTCACCAATGTTTCACCGTGAAATCACTACTGTAATACTAAGTTCTCACTGTTGACCATAGAGGGAACTACCGATCTTCCATAGTATTTTCACCGTGACCACAAAACCGCCAGGGTAAGCTTTATGGTAATTAATTTTTCTACTGTTCAAAAATGATGTATAAATTATTTTTCTTAGAAAAGCAATATAATACTTAAGAATTACTAACAGTTGTGTAATTTTTAGATTATTGTTAATGCACGTGATAAGACAACATCATATAAATCACCATGTACATTATCTGGTCCAAACGTTTTAAGTGACACTGAAACCGAACAATTTGATCACTCAACTACTCATGATAATTCTCTGGAATTAAAAAATCTATTTCCTAAATTGAAAATTGGTTTAGAGGAAGTAAAACCAAACGTGATCATTACAGAAAATTCCGATCTCCATGTAAGTATGAATGTTTGAGGATTAATTAAATTGAATATTTTAATTTTTAGCCCTATTAAAAAAAATATTGAGAACAATTGAAAGGTAATTAAAAAGAATTACTTTTAAAATAAATCGAATAATTTTTTTTTGCCTTTTCTATTATTTTCAATACTTTTTTTTTTTTAATCAGGGAGTATAATCATTTAATTGATCATTTATATGAGTAATATTAATACTTTACAGATAATGCAAAATAGTTGTAAAGGCTCGATTAAACTTAACTCAGATATTGTAACATCTTGTAATGAATTGGTTAATTCGAATGATAATTTGAATGCTCACCGAGTGAATCAGGATACCATGATACTTGACTGTGATCTTGATTTAAACGATGTTGGTGTAAATTCAAAAGACATTTGTGATCATAATTACGAGGATAATACGGTCAGCTATTTATATCAACTATTTTTAGCATCCTACATTGGACAATAACTTCGATGCTTATGTTTTTTTTATTCTTATTTATAGGTATTACCGAATCCGGTAGTTAATCCGATTGGCAATATTGCTAATAAAACAGGACTGGATTATGCATCGATCGATTCAAATATAAAGTTATATGCTCAGTCAGTGAGCCAAGATTTGCAAACTGAATGTAATTCTAGTAAATTTCTTGATAATTCACACGAGACTTCACAAGAAAATGAGGTTTGCATTTGTTTAAAAATATAGTTTTTACTTCGTTTATTGTGATTTTTATATTGTTCTTTGAAGATAATATTCGGTCACGAATTATTGTTTGAAATTAATATTTTTACTCATATAACTTTAATTATAATTTTATCATCGTTTCAAGTTAGTTATTGCTCTCGTAATATTCTCAGATAACTCTTAAGATGCCTAATAATTCATTTCTTATTAGCTATTTAAGCATCAATTATTAACGCTCAATCTAATGTTGTCTACTCTCTTTAAAATATATTTGGAATACAGAATTTGGTAATATTTTTTGAAAATATTTTGAATATTAGAAATTTACAATAAATAAATTACACTTAGAAAAGAAATAGGATATTGTTAATTAATTAAATGAATTTCATTGAAAACTGTGATTCATAGTTTTTTGTTTATTTTTTTTACAGAATAATTTTGATAGGATTTTTGAAAGAGAATGTAACATCCAAAACAACGGTAATTTTTTAGCTGCTCATTTTACTTCTCCAGAAGATAATTTGATAGAAGGAGTCATCATTCCAAGTATTGATCAAGCCAGCTATAACGATTCGGATTTGTCAAAATATGAATCAAATTATGAGGTTTTGAATTTAAGCTATTAATTCGTAAGAATCTCTAGGATATGAAATATTACTTATATTACTTATATTACTTCCAACATTTTACAGATTTCCGACCAATTGGAAAGCATTCTTGCATCTCAATTAGATAGTGAAACCGTGGAAATGATACGCGATCATAGCATCAATGACATTGATAACAATGATGATTTATCGATTTCTCAATTTGACCAACATCCCAACATAAACTCTGATGGTATTTCCAATGTTGTATCGGAAGATCCTTCTTCGGTATATACTAATAAAGACAGTAGCGATATTGATTTTGATCCTGACAAAGTGACCAATTCTTCAACTATGACAGAGGATTCAGCACAACTTACACAATCACCCAAAACAGTGAACTTTAAAATTCCTGGAACCGAGAGTTTACCAACTGATGTAACTCCGTGTGCTTCAAGTACACAAAAGACAATAATTAGGAATTCAACATCTATCAAGATACCACTTCCATCAAAAGGATCTTGTGATAACTCAAAATTAAAAGCAGAAAGTAGTATTATTACTGATGAATTAGGAGTTGTTACTGTTCAACCACGTTGGAAAAAACAATATTTTTGTATTCACTGTCACAAATTAGTGGTTAAGTTACCTCGCCATATAGAAACAAAACACCAAGATCTCAAAGAAGTACAACTACTGAAAAATACTCCAAAAGGTGAGTAATAATGAGAAATACAAGCAAATTTTTGATCAATATCAATTTCTGATAAAACTGCTTCGAAAGTTTAGTTTGAGAGGATTGGACAGCTATCTTGTAGCAGCAAATTATCTGACCGAATTCAAATTCTGTGATCTTTTTTTGATAATTAATCTTCAGTCATTACATAAATAATTTTATTCATTTACATCTTAATTTTAAATTTATTTAAATAAAAGCTGAACTAAAACTAATTGTCAAATAATAATATCTCTCAAAATCAACAAATAATGTTTTCACGAAGAATTCGATCCTCTACAAAACTTTTGGAGCAATAGAAATAAAAAAATGTTAGTAGTCTGCAAGGTAAAAATTTTATAGAATTTGATTAATTTTTGAAATACTTTTGGAAACATAAATTTTGTATTCTAATCTAAGCATGACTTTGTAAGCATGTACTATATAATTTAGGCTGATAGGATAATATCTTAATTGAACATATATCACTGCTTCGTAACTGAGTCATAAATATTTTTACTTTGTTTACCTATGTTATTTTGAAGCAATGAGTAAATTAAAATTTTATTCTTAGTTTAATATTCTCTATGAATTTCACTACTAATAATATAATATTTGCAGGTTCCTCTGAAAGAAAAAAACTAATTGAGATTTATAGAGACAATGGACGTGCTATGCATAACACTAATCCTGACTATAATACCGGGAAGCTATTAGTGAGCCGTCGACCAAAATCAGAGAACAAACCTGCCACTGACTACACAACTTGTCCCAAGTGTCTCAAGACTGTAACTAAAGCCAACTCTTACAAGCACTATGCCGTGTGTATCCAAGCAAAAACAAATGGATCACGCGCTTATAAATTTCTTGGTCGCTATGTTGAAGGGCGCATTCATGCCAATGCCAGTGATACTCTAAGCTTAGTAATTTTCCCGGTGCTCCAAGAGGACGCGATTGTTCATTTAATTAGATATGATTGGCTGTTGATATTATATGGCAATAAATTGTGTATGAAATATACACCCCACTATCAGCATAATATGATAAGAGCCAGACTTCGATTGGTTGGTCGTCTATTGTACGCAGCGAAGGAAATAAATCCACAGATCGAAGACCTTGCATCACTTTATGCTCCAGAATATATTGATACAATTGTCAAAGCTATTGAAGTAGTTTCAAGGATAAATAGAATTGAAAATGAATGTGGTGCACCTTCTTCGGCTTTAAATCTGGTGACCTATTTAAAACACATCAGAAAAATTTATGAAAGTGAACTGGCAAAAAAAAATGACAAGGAAGGATTAGACAGAGTACTCCGGTTCAAAAAAGTTTATAAAAATGAAATGCCGGATTCTATTAATAAGATAGCAATGGAAAACCAGAGTAAAATAAAACGGCAAAAAATAGTAATATTGCCGATGACGGAAGATATAAAACGACTCATTTGCTATTTAAAAGTTGAACGTAAAAGATGCTTTGCGATTTTAGAGCATTCATTTAACTTGGTAGAATGGCTTAATGGTTTGAAAGTTGTTGCCACTTATCTTCTTGTATTCAATCGTAGGAGAGTAGGAGATATCCAGAACATACTGATAAGCGATTTAAAACGTATAGAATGTATTGATAAAAAGACCGACGCCGAAGAATTTAATTTATTGGACGAAAGTGGTAAAAAAATAGCAAAGAAATTTTTTAGAATAGCCATCAGAGGGAAAAAAAATCGTACGGTTGCTGTTATAGCGGATGCAGATGTAATAAAGGATATTAATTTAATAATTAGACATCGAGTAAGCGCAAATGTACCTCCACGGAATGAATATTTATTCGGGTTACCTAATAATGTAGATGATCGGATCAGAGTTGTAAATATTTGTAAAGAAATGAGATCTTTTTCTGTCGCTTGTGGTGCAGAAAAACCAGAGTTACTCCGTGGAACTGGTCTTCGTAAACACGTTGCTACAAAATGTATGGAGCTTGATTTAAATGAGAAGGCACTTGGCGATGTTATGAATCATATGGGACACTCTGAAAAAGTACATCGGGATATTTATCAACAACCAATTAAGTCTAAGACGATCGTTCAAGTTGCGAAAGTTTTGGAAGCGGTACAAGGTCCTCTTGACATCGACGAAGATGATGATGAATTTATTGACGAATTAAGTGACTATATTGTTATTCCAAGTGAAACATCGGAAAAAGAAGTCGATAAAGATTCTAATGAATCATTAGTTGATGTCCCATCCTGTTCACACAGTGTAAGAAAGGATGACGAAGAGAATGATTTACATGATTCGGGTTCTCTGTCTGATGCAAATTTGCAGATTAATAAAAATCATAGTCTTAGTGATGTTGAAATGATTAGTTCAATCAGTGAATTGAAAAAACCTAAGAAGATTAAAAAAGAACCTCCAGAAATAATGGGTATTATGCTTTCAATGTTTTCGTTTATGCTCAAGATTTTAGTATTTTACTTTTTTAAAATTTTTTTTTGTTATGTATTCATGAAAATTATCTGTTTTTTAGGAAAAGCTAAAAAAAGGCGCTGGCCCAAAACGGAACAAGATATTATGTTCTCTGCGTTCGGGCACCATGTACAAGATGGAACTTTTCCATCATTGGAAGACATAGATGAACTACAAGAAAAACATGCTTGTTTGAGAGATCGCTCGAGAAAGTCACTTAAGACGTGGGTGTTAAATCAACGAAAAGCTCTATCAAAACCAAAAACCAGTAAAATAATAGTAGTTAACAATCATGCCGTGAGGTATAATTTAACGAAAATTGTTAAACAAGATTTTGATCCACCGCAACTTGCTTGAATTTTTTTCGCAAGCTTGATTTGTTTCAATTTGATTGAAACAAAAAAACAAAAACAAAGACAGTTATTAATAACATTATTTCTCATAACCATTTATTTTCAGCGAACATAGTTCTAGTTATTATTAATTTATTTTGTCAACAAAAATTTATTTAAAATTACAAATCTCAGTTTAAGTTTTTCACATAAGATAAATTTTAGTATATAAGATATATCTTGAGCGTATTTTTGAAGAAATCATGAAATTTCTTTTACTATTTTAATCATTAAATTCATCAAATTATTTTAATTTGCCTAGTTATTTTTGTTTTAGTTACACTATACATATATCAGATTATATATGTAGATTTATGTAATATTTATGTTTCATTAAAGCGTTAATTTGTATGCCAAAAAAGTGTGATTGCTGATCAGCTGATTTTATTATAAGTTTTAGTTGATAAGACATTTAGGTAGAAATTATACTACCTATCGGAGTTAATTTATCGTTAATAAGCATTAATTGAATGTTTAACGTGAAAATAAAATTAACAGTTGGGTCTACAATTAACTATACGATTTATTCAAATACAGGCGTTTAATTTCTGTATTTATTTTAGCTCTACATCAACTTTAATATTAAAAGATCAGAACTGCTGATCAACTAATTAACTTAAGGCATCACGAAATTTACATAAGGATTTTTTGAAACCTGCAAGTTATCTGTAAAATTTGCAGACGATTCTGATGTCTTTATCTGAGTATACCATTCATTTATACAGAAAAAATTAAAGCTATCTTACATAAGAATTTTATTTGGCATCACCCATTCATGCGTGTAGTAGATGGGCATCAAGCTAGTTTGGAAACCGCTAATACATATAAACTCAATCATGTCCCTATCTGATAGTATGTAATACATACTAGGATCAGTTTTTTTTCTTTTTTCAGTTCCTCACAAAAACGCGTAAGGGTTTTGAAGTTCCGTGATAAGTAATACCCCTGCTTGTGAAATTGAAATAAACTTGATTGCCAAATTTTCAATGGAATTAATTAGCTGTAATTTATTTGTTAACAGTTTACTATAAATATTATACATAAAATTTAAAAATTAACTATTTGCACTGCTCTTTCAGGCAAATTCTATATTTTATGTTTTATTAAACTTTTATCAATTATAGATTAGGTTCATTGTGATATATAAATATAATAAATAGTCTATCAAAAAAAATTTTTGCATATAATTCTATAAAAGCTGTTAAGTTTGATGAAATTTCCTTAAAATTGATGAAATTTTATTCAACTATAATTGCGATGCTATGGATTTTTTGGAAAGAAATTTTCTAAATACTCACGAAATTTCATTACAGTTAATGAAATTTTGTAATTATTTGAAAAATCTTATATATAACTACATGAGTTTTTTAAATTTCATAACATTTTATCTAAGATCGAGAGATAATTTTATAAAATTTTATATAATTCCATGAAAATTCGCTTATTTTGAAGAAATGGTTAGAATCAAATTTTATGAAATATGATGGAATGTCATGAATTATGAAATATAATTCCATGTCAGGTATTAATTTAAATAGAATTTATGGACATTTGACAAACTTTTGTAAAATGATACAAAATTTGATAATGCTACATAAAATTTTATACTAGCCATAATTTTGATCCTAGACAAAAGTTTTATGGAAATACAATTAAATCAAATCATAGACAATTTTATAAGATATCATAAAAATATTTTTTCCTGGGCTGAAACTGCCAATTATCTGATTGGAAAATGGAGTTTAAATATCAAATACTTTAGATCAAACTGATGAATTGAAAAAAAAAATTATTGTAAGCAATGAATTATTAAAGCTACATGAAAAATGATAGTAATTTTTTCTATGAACGTAAAATTATAAACCAATTTAAATTTGGGTGTTTTTTGTATAGTTATGCATCAATTTCTGTAAGTTAATATTAAACTAAGTGATCAGCTCGTTTAATAAAAGTGTCTAGCCGGGCAATATTTTATGTCAGGAATTTTCATATATTTTTTAGCTTACGGACATTACAAATAAAGATTTTATTCAATCTCATTCATAAGACCCTCTAGTTAAAAATCATTGTCTGTAAAAAAACATCGGGCCTGCTAACTTCCGATCAGCTAATTTTTTTATAGTTCAGGTGATAGGTTCTTATTATATAAATTATTAATTAAAGAGTGAACAGAAGAAAATTTTTAATCAATTTTCATAGAATTCCAAGATAAAATTGAAATTAAATATATGAGCCAATTTATTCGAAATGTGATTGTTCAAATATCTAATAAGCATGAAAATATATGTGATTTCATAAGGTAAAAGTTCCCATTATCGACACTATAAGACAGATCATGAATATTTGAATTTTTTATCGTATTTCAAATCAATACTATCAACTTTTTTTGATAGGACACCTTAATTATTGTTTTAACTCATATAATTTATTGATTAACTTTAATAGCAATACATTTAATAATTATTATATCAACTTAAAACCAACAGGTCGAATGTATGTATAACTGACAGCGCAAAAAATTCAAGGAGCCGATTATTGACATGCCATTGATCCTATTATTGACAGAGGTTATTCATTACAGTTAAATTCATATCAACGATAATGATTTTTACTAACTAATGCAAAATTATTAATAACTATTATTATTTTAAAATTCGTTTAAGACATCTGCTATTTTAAAATTAATTTAAGCTCAATAAAGTATAAATAAATAATAATATTGTTATTTAGAATATAAATAATCAAAAACAATACAATTATATAATAAAAAAACATTGAGAAATCTGGATTTGAAAATTAGGTCTCTGTTAACAATATTGTAAAGAAATTACAAACGTATAAGCAGTTTTGGCCTACTTGAAAAAACAAAATTTCGTTGTGGTCAACAGTTTATGACTTGGAATTAAATTTTACTATTGTTTAATTTCAAAAATATGTAAAATTGTAATGAAAATTGAATAAATGTGATTATTAACCGATTTAATAATTAAATAATAAAATTCAATAGGGTGTAAATAATGAGGGCACTGTCAATAATAAGGGCTTTTCCATTGCCAACATTTAGACGTGCGCTTGCGCGCGCAAGTTACATCGAGTTCTAGAAATTTAAATAGCACGCTGTACGTGCGCGCTCTCTTTTAAAAACCAATAAGAAATCAAGGTCTATTTTTTTGATTAGTATCAAGAATTCCGAGATATAACCAACTTCACTTTAATCATTAATTTTATATTATAGTATAAGAGCTACAATTTTTCACATATAAATTGCTTGTAGGTTTATTTCTGACCGAAAATTCGCCCAAGTTCTGACATTGAGTTTATTGAAACATTCACAAGTTGATAAATTTTTAGAGAAATTTGAAATCATTCATTCAAATAAAAATTTGAATGTTTAAAAATTTTGATAGATTTTGATTACTAAATCCTATTACAGCATCTTTACTCATATTGTCAAGCCGAAATCATCTGGAAATTTAATTTGTTTCAGTATATTAATATCTAATAGCAGACGTAATTTTTACTAAAAATACCCCACGCGTGGGGAACTGGGCTGCAGCATTATAGACATGCGCTTGAGTGCAGTTCTTGAATGGGGACCAAAGATTGGGGTGTCGAAAACTCCCCACGCGATGAATGATTTAATAAAATTAAAATTTGTAGTTGTATCCAAAAAATCATTGTATATATCGATTTATCATGAAGTATATCAGTAATATATACGAAAAAAAAGTATGCTTAGATAAAGTCCGCAAAAGCCATACTGGATAAACATATATATATATATATATATATATATATATATTTTCGGTACTATAAGTATGAATTTATTAAATTTTCACTGCATTGTTTGCAGGCTTTACAATATACGGAAGATTTAGAGACAGAAGAAAGTGAAGCACCTAGATGTGTCGTATATACCCTGGATCAAGAAATTGCATCAGCTTACATTGTGGCAGATAATTGTATTCAAATGGAAATACCGGATCCAGATATTTACAAAATTTTAGCCGGAGTATTAGCTTCTTACTATGTATGGCATAGAAATTATCCTGCTGGGTACCAAAACCTTTTACAATATTTTGACTACATTATATTGGATGTACCACAAAAAAATTTGAGTTTGGTATTATCTAAGTTCATAAAAAAATTTAATAATTGAAGACGGTATTGTTATGATTACTATTATTTCATGCTTGCTAATTTTATATTTTAATTTTATTATTAAACTTTTTAACACAAAAAAATTGCTTAGATAAAAAAACTCACGAATGTTACGTTCTAATAATAAAAATAATGAGATTACAATCATCATTGTACTTGATATGATATTTATCATTTAAAAATTTTGTAACAGAATTGTATACGACTGTGTGAGTTGATATTTAAATAATAATATATGTAATATACATATTAAATGCATGTAATAATAATTACTAAATAAAATCATTAAGATAATTTTATTTAGTTTGGTGAATAAGAGATTTCTTTCTATACATACATACACTGAGAGAAAAATCCATAGTTAGCTTGTGACGTTGCGGAAGGGTTTAATACCTCGTCGTGTGCTAATACGACTTCCTCGTGCTCTAGCTCGTCGCAGTCCAGGGTTTGGGTGAGAAATTCCTCAATTACACGTCCTGTACAAAAATCACATGATATTTAAATTGAGACATTATATAATTAAAAATTATACATTCAAATTAATTAAATCATACCATTTTTATTTTTCGATGAGGTGTAACAACGCCCATTACACTTTCTAGTAGTGTTAATATACGCATCGCCATATGACCTTGTTTACACCATCTCGATCATAATTATACATATATCCTTTTTCACATAAAGAAATTTTGCCTTTCTGATTTTTAATTGAATGCAAAGGCATTTCGAATAATTAAATTATAACATTAACTTATCAAACAAACTACAAAACTACAATATTACATATTGTAAAGCACACTTTAC